TGAGAGAGAATAAATAAGACAGCTCAATATTTAAAAAAATTGTTATTCTTTTCCCCCGCATATTTAGCATATTTAGCATATTTCGCAACTTCCCGCAATTTCACCGCATAAAATCACATAAGACCCCCGCATATTTAATCGCATAATCAAGGATTTTAGCCCGCGTTTTTCTGGAGGGTCTACTTAATACGTTTTTATCGGCAAGATTGCACCAAGAAATGACTGTAAATACAGACATATTTGAACCCATGAATGTAAGGAAACACTTTTATGCAAATTGATTGTTGTGCTTTTATTGAGGTCTTAATGTGTGCAATTGTACAAATGTGTCTGTTGATATATGTATATACATATTGGATAGTCTGATTCCATAGCAACATTCAAAACCCACCTGTTCAAACTGGCATTTTCTTTATAATCTGTACCCTGTGTCCGTTTTGTAGTCCATTTCCTGTTTGTCTTGTCTTACTCCGGCTGATACTTCACTAAATCCACTGTTTTAATTTGTAAGGTAAAATTGTAAAAAATGTGTAAATGTACATTTGTAACCCTGTAAGGTGTCCTTGGGTGTTATGAAAGGCGCCCCCCAAAATAAATGTATTATTATATATTATTACTGACTTAGATGATGTGACACTCTGAAGGAGAAGATGAAAAGTTTGATGGCCACACGCAGGAATGGACTCCTGTGGGGCTCTGGTGCATCTTTGGACAGCACGCAATGTCATGTAATTTTAAAACACATATTTTATTTTGTAGCAGAGTGGCGTCTCTTCTGTGTGCGCGGAGAGCTCCCTGAGGAAGGCTCTCTGTTGGAAGTGGATTGCTGCTGTGCAGGTCTGAGGTCCAGGGGCTCTGTCGTCCTGCTCAGCAGCCAGCAGGGGCTGATGTACCTCTGGACGGGCGGTAAGGCTCACAGCGGCTCCAGAGAGGTCAGCAAGAGGGCAGTGGAGCATCTCACTCAAACGTGAGTCAAGTCAGTGGGTCGGCTTTTCAAGGATTCAGTGATGTCTTTAACATACAACGTTGAAATCACTTTCCAGCCTTTGAATTGTTTGTGTTTTTAGGTGTCCACCAGAGCTGGGTCTCAGTAAAAGCAGCCCTGTGAAGGTGCAGGTGGTGGAGGAAGGCTCAGAGCCGGCAGAGTTCTGGACAGCACTGGGACAAATGGACAGGAAGGCGTATGACTGCATGCTGCAAGGTAGAAAACAACTCAACGTCTCTTCATCCAGGACCTTCTCTAATCTTCGAAATCACACTTAAAAAATATTTCTTTGTTAGATCCCGGAAAGTATAACTTCACACCTCGCCTCTTCCACCTGAGTGCCTTCTCTGGGAGTTTCCAGGCTGTCGAGCTGCAGAGTCCAACTCGGCTGCCGGGGGTCGTGATGCCATCGCCCTTCGTCCAGGAGAGTCTGTACTCTGTACCACAACCAGGTGACAGCATACACATGCACGCATGCACAATACACAAACACATGTGTCTCTTTCTCTCTTATCTTTTTATGTACATTCATTGAAAACAAGAACCACATTACTTTTGAGTCAACCATTTACTTTATCACACATTTACACTGGTTTGTTGTTATCAATTTCTAAAATTGTTTTGGCAGTATCCTTTTTTTTCTTTCTGCCAAAATCCCAATATCAAAAGTTAACTTAATTTTATAAGTTCATTTGGTTTCCATACATTTACCTAAATAAAATGTTTTCTGCTAATGGTAAAAAAAAAATTGATATTCCATTAAAGCTGTTTTTTGGTATATAAATATCTGACTTCTTCTTTTCACCAATGAGAAACGTTTGAGTATATGACTCCCAGAAGGGCTCCGAAATTCACTTTATTGTCTCATATCCACTGTCTTTCTTGCCTGCCTGTTAGCCTTGTTCCTGCTGGATAACCGTCTGGAGGTGTACCTGTGGCAGAGGGGTCAGCCTGAGCAGACGGAGAGCTCGGCCTCAGCCTGGAGCTGCTGGCATGCTGAGAGGAGGTGTGCCATGCAGACGGCGCTGCAGTACTGCAAGGGTACGAGAAGGCTGTTTAAAATGAATTAGTTGCTGATTAGTTGAAGTATTTACATTTTTCAATGTTTTTTTCTCTGTAACAGAGATGAACCCAAGACGTCCACCACAGGCTTACCTAATTGTTGAGGGTTTAGAACCTCTTACCTTCACTAATGTGTTTCCCCACTGGGAAAAGAGCCTGGGACCCCATCCACAGGTAAAAACCCCATGCACTTATCTACACCTCACTGTTTCTAGTGTAGATATTCAAAGTGTAATATACGTAACATTTCTACATTCAAATGTTTAATCTCTAGACCTATTTTCTATATTTTGTTGAATTTTGTTACGTTATCCAAGATGTCATAAGTTGTCCTTTTTATCCTGACACTTTTTTATGAAACACATTTTAGATATTTGTAATTTTTAACTATTTATTTTAACCAAATGGAATTTAATAGAGTGGATGACTAGATCTTAAAATATTAGAACAAGCTTAGCAAATGTAAGCTGCAGCTCCTACATCCTGTGTCTACCAGAGAAACACTGTTTACTGTGACACTGCCTTATTCAAGATAATTTCCTACCAGTTTTAATCACCAGCTTTGTTCTATGTATTTTTCCATGAATGGTGTAAGGGTGATGCGGGGCGGGTGAAGCTGACCTTGGTGCAGGACGCCCTGGCCCAGCTGATGAAGACCCAGTACCCTCTGGAGGAGCTGCTGCAGAGCCCCCTGCCTGAAGGAGTGGACCCCCAGCACCTGGAAGTCTACCTGTCTGATCACGACTTCCAGGTAAACTGATGGAGCAATATGCAGTGATGTCTTTTAACCAGCAGGCTGCAGTGTTATCCAAATGTTTTATAAATAAAAATAGATTCTCATCTTTTTAATCTGATAATAAATTATTTAGGAGTTTTGTCTAAAGTTGAACATTTATATTTTATTTTATAAAATGATTTCCCCAGTGAACAAATCACTACAATTATATGTTTCAGACTATTTTGGAAATGAAGAGAGATGAATACGCTTCCCTCCCAGACTGGAAGCAAATTGATCTGAAGAAAAGCAAAGGGCTGCTTAGCTAGACAGCAAAAACAAATGGAGGCTGACTGATGCTCCTGCAGCAGGGACTTCCTCCTCCACTGAGAAGAGAAGATGGCAGGGGGGTATTAGCACCGCGTTGCTGCACAAAGGACTGCTCACACTGTTATAAAAAGAGGAAAGAAATTAAATTTTATTTATGTCAAACTAGTATGAGTGTTTGGACTTTTTATCAGACATGCATTTCTCTGTGGCTATTGTTCAGAGCAAAAAACAACACACTTTTTCCTATTAAAGTAAACTTTATCTGTACAAATCATTGAAAGATATAAAGAAAATGTATGAGGGTGTGAGCGAAGGACATCAGTAATAAACTGTGGAATAAGGATAAGAAAACAAAGGAATACATACAAAAGAATAAAAGGCTAACTACTTTTAAAGAGGTTTCCTCCTCGATTGAGATCTTTCCATCAAAATATCTCTGCATGCTCGGAACTAAAGTTTTGCTTAATTTCAGTTGAAAGACTTTCAGCTGCTGCTTCTCTTCCTGATTGTCACTACAATCTTAAAAACAGTGTATTTGACTCCTATGATGTGTATTATACAGTTGTTAGAGCTACTGGTGTGTTCATTTGTCTGCCTGCTTTGTGTGTACAGTACAAAGGTTTGTGCCATGTGTATTTTAGCTTAAGCCCATGTGTTCATTGTTGCTGTGGGTAATGCCTTATTAGGACTCCTTGGGGATTCCGTATTAGCTATGCATGGGGGAGCAGGTAGACATGCTCCAATAACATCCCTCTGGCCCCAAAAAACACGCTAATTCTGCTGCACCTCAATCACCACGCTGTTCACAACACCCCGCCTAACACAAAAACCTATAAAGACATACGGCATCACTATTGTGTGTGAAAGCTCAATATTTCTGATAATGGTAACACTGAGCTGATGGTGATTAAAAATGTTTTGATGTACTTTGGTGTAATATCCCGTTTCCTGGATGAATCTAAATAGAATGTTTAGCTTGAATTCTTATTTTTTTAAAACCCAGCTTTTTGTTGTCAAAATTAAAAAAACAAATGTTTCTTGGCTCACTGTTGTCTGCAAGCATTTACATCTTAGCTGCTCTGTGAGGCTAAGCTAAATGCTAACATACTCAAAATCAAACTGATGTAAATCAGTAATGTTTACCATAGTTGTGTGTTAGCGTGCTTACACATGCTAATGACAAAGTACAGGCTGATAGCAATCTCAATACTTTTCAGGTATTTGATAACAAATACTGGAAGTATTTAAAATCAGCTTGCCTACTAAAAATTATCGTTTGCGGTACATGGATGTCTGTTTTACAAATGTTGTAGCTATCTAAGTTGTTTGGCTACTCAAAACCATAAATGTTGATCTGCTTGTGGCGCTAAAGAAAAGGTCAGGGGATCAACAAAGTAATTAGGATTCATCCTCTGGGAACCATGATATTCTGTCCACATTTGTATCCTAATCCAGGGAGTAGATGTTGAGGCATTTCAATGTGCACCAAAGTGGTGGTTAATAATCCATCACAGCCTCAATTAATCCTAATACAATGCAGCAATGGGACAAATGGGCTTTTCTCGAGTGGAAAAAAAACCCCTACTGTGTTGGTGATGTGGCTAAAACTGATGCTGTTGTGTGATTACAACTCACAAACTGGTGATTTCTGAGTTAGGTAAGACGATCTGAGGGACGTTTTAGAGTAACCACAAGTCATGTGTGCTCAACAAATTGTAAATAGGTAAGGTTGTTCTTCCATTGGTCCACTGAGTAGGAGCCCTTTTGGGTTCACTGGCTAACTGGATGTTATTTTCCTCAGAATGGATTAGCTGACTAAGCCTTCATGTGACTGTGCAGTGCTGGCAAGATTGGATTTAGGCCCACGGCTGGGTGTAGGCGCACTTGAGAAAGACATTTCCTAAGGCCTTTTACTTGCAGGCATCTAAAACAGACCAAGTCTAGAAAAGGGTTACACACTGAAAACTACCTGAATCCTGTAGCTGGAGTGAAGGCACAAATGTTATGCTGTTTCTGGTGAAGATGTGATAAAGAAACAATTTCCAAGGTGCTTTTTCTAAAGTTGAAATGTAAAAATGAGGAGTCCCTGCATCAGTCAGCGCAACCTTAATCATGGGTTTGATGGTGAGTTTGTGAATTGTGCCTTTCCAACACTACCAGGTGGAATATGTGCCTGTTCAATATCAAGTGAGTACGGCAGAAAAGGGACATATTTTCATGCCCTTGTTTGGATGTCTAAATGGCCTGTTCTCTTTGTGCATCATGTCCGAGTATGAATCGATCCGGTTCAGAGGCCAGTGCCGCCTCACGCAAAACCACCATGTGATCTTCGGCTGCGTTGAGTGACTGGTCGATCCAGTCCATACTGCCGGACATGTGACAGGCGTTGCGGGTGACCAGCACCAGGTGGCTGACTGAAAGAAGGAGAGCTGTAGCCCTGAGGAGGAAAATGAAAAATGGGTTTGATTTAACTTTTTTATGTTGCTGGGTGAGATGCACTGATTCCAAAATCCTTTTTAAAATCAAGGAAAAGTGGCTTAGAAAGGGTCTGTTGGGCTGAGCCAGATTGCATAACTTTACATTTGTTTTTTAAGGCACAAAATATTTGATTTTGAAGGTTTTTCCCATAGCGTCAATTTGCAGTGACACTTCACATTAGCTGTCCCTATCGCTGCATCAATCAAAGGTTATTTCCTTATGGATACATCCGAGTCATGTGGTCTTCTCCAGCTCTTAAAGGTCAATCACGGTCACAGGTCTTTGCATAAGGTCATCAACGTCATACAAAGAAGCTGATTTTATGGATGGGAAAACAAATGTGATTACCTGGCGTCCAGGAGTATTGGATCCAGAGGCGGGTACATGGACCTGACCACGTCGTCCACCCTGTGAGGAGAGGGGACAGAGAGGATGTGAGGGTAGCCGGAGTCAGAATGTGTTCATAGCAGAGGTGGAACTTAGTAATACATGGAACATTTATTGAAGTAAAAGTACAGTCCCACGGTGTAGAAAAACTATGTTAAAAAGTCCTTAATTAAAAAGTATTATCATCCCAAAACACTTAAAGGTAGGGTAGGTAAGAATGGAGAAACCAGCTCGAGTAAACTAGAATTTGAAAGTACACAACCGAAAAAAATCTGCCCCTTCATTCAGACTTCCTTACAGAGCCCCTCCTCCAACACACACGAATGCGCACATGACCAATGAGGGTACGAGATAAGTTTGTGCATGAGATGGAAGGCTGACAGGCAGGTAAGCCATCCAATTATCTGCCGCGGGCCGAGACAGACCATTGGACTTGCTTTTTACAGCGCCACGGCTTCCACAGATGAAATATATATTTATTGACAAAGCATTTAATTTATTCATTGCTAACAGGATGTTAAGAGCATTCCATGGAATATAACAAAAAGTATTTCTGAAGTGAATTACCTACCCTACCTTTAAAATATCAAAAGTAAAATAACTAATTTTGTTGTAGAATGCCTACAAAATTATGTATATTATGATACTGAATCACAATTATTGAAGCATTAAACTGTTCATTACAGTGGGGAAATGTTTTGAAACACTTTCAGATGTGAATTCACCAAAGGATTAGTAAAGTGTTATCTTACTTATTCAATACATCATCATTGAGTTGATGAAAAGATTTTGTATAAAAGATTTAGAGTTTTCAAAGTAAGTAGCAACTGAATATATTAAATATCATACCAAGTACCTTAAAATAGTTTTTAAGTAAATGTCCTTAATTACTGGTAAATGCGCGTTACCTCGGGCTGATGCGTTTGGCCACACTGATGATGTCACTCAAGCTTGCCGGTGCCTTGACCTTTGCCCCTGAACCCATTGTCATGGCAACCAGCTTTTCAGTCAAAGTGTGGCAAATCTGTAGATCGAAATATAACGTGTTAGTTCAGGTAAATAAATAATATAGACTAGAACTAAAGTAAAGACTTGAGTTACCTTTAGGATTGAGATACAATGAGAGACCAATCCACTGTGGGAGAAACATTCAGAGAATTAGGTGGAATCAAATACTCAGGTAATTTACTTAAACAGCAATACCAGTGTACCACAAAAAAAATACAGAGTAAAAAGAGTAACCTAAAGTAGGCTACAACTTATTTGCTTAGGAATTGTTCTTCTGAATATTTTAGAATTTAATCGATTGGTCTATAAAATGTTTTAAAAAAGGGAAAAATGTTGAGTCAGGCAAAAACAAAAATACATAAATAACATATATAATTCCCACCTGTGGATCCATTAAGTCTTATGTTTATCTATAATAACATAACATACTTTATTTGTTGGTTTAGTATTGTATTGTTAATTGCAATACTCAAAGTAACTAATGCCATGTAAAAAATGTATTGACATGAAAAGTAAAATATTTCCCTCTGAAATAGAAAGTATCTGAACATGTAAGTACTCAAGTACCTCAAAACGGTACTTTTGGCAGTACTTGGGTAAATGTGCTGCGTTAGCAGCAGCATTTGAAGACTTAACCTAAATGTCTAAAGCTTTAAACTTATGTCATGCCACAATGGCACCAGTAAGACGTACGAGGCGTCCTCTATCCAGTCCTCGTTCTCCAGGATGGCCTCGATGTGCGGGTTGGTGATGACCACATCGTCCAGCTCCAGCTCCGACTGCTCGCTCTGGGTCTCCATGGCTCCAATCAGATCCACTGTGGGTCTGTAAAACAGAACAGGGAAACCAGAGGAGGCACGGCTGGATTACCAACCAGCAAGTCACAGTTAAATTACCTTTACATTTGCTGTGGTTAACTGATTCAAAGCAAGTTTATTGACTGGAAATTTGCATGAGGATATCACGTTTTAGTGTTTTTCACATAGTATAAAGGGGCTCTGTGTCTTTGAGCACACAATACAGGTTTCTGTTCTAATTTCAATATTTGTCCTGGCAGGTTGTGGATATCAATATTTAAGATGATTATCTTTTATTAGCAACACTTTTTCAACAACAGGTGTATAAGTAAACAAAGCTAACAAAACAGCCTGATTTTGTTGTTGTTGATTGAACAAACACTAATCAAGGTGTAAAGCGTATCAATTAGATGACAAGACACTGGAAAAAAGAAAAAGAGATGTTAAATGTTGAAATAAATGAGTCCAACTGAGGTTGAATGGTACACAAATCGAGTGCCCCTGTGGCTTAAAGGATTTAAGAAGCCAACCATGAAGTGCAAAGTCCCTGTTTGAGGTCTTAGTTGCATTTCTCTGCCTCCTTTTGTGGCATTTTTCAACTATTAGTAATTAATAAATGCCCATAAACCACTAGTGCTAAAAAGTGTGAAGCCAACCCTAATTGTTTAGCACAAACAGTATGTAGGCTAGCAGTGGTTATATTATATACTAACTACAATGTAAGACTCTAAAATCTGATAGAAGTTAAAACTCTTTCTAGTTCAAATGTGGAGGCTTTGTATTGATTCACTGACTTGGTGTCGAAGGGGTGCAGCAGGTGGTGAGGGTGGCAGTAGCGATGTCTGCACACCACCACAAGGGCGACGAAGGAGGCCAGGAAAATGGTGGCCAACACCCCAATTGCCACGATCACCACTGTCTCCATGGCGACTCCAGCTCCCACAGCAGCTGCAGGCAGCAACTTGTTTGAGAGGAAGAGAGTCCAATCAGGGTCGCCTGATTGTCCGAGCTTGATTATGGATGGCCGCTCATCTGTCGAGGAGAGAAGAATTGCTGGTGTCAAAGTGATTGGGTGACATCAAACTGGAGAAGAGGAATATCATCCCTGTACTTGAAGATACTTCTGCTAGATTTCTCCTGATTTTCACTTCTGTTGAAACACAATTCCCCTCTGAGCCAATGGAAAGAGGCATACAATCAGCAGTGTTTCTGAATGTGGCACACCTACAACACACGGCTGATCTTTATCTGAGTACATAAAAGCTGAAGTGCACTTGCTCTTTGTTTGCATGTCATACGGTGTAATGAGAACACAGTGTTTGCTATACAGAGACTTTATTTGCGAAACTAGGGCAACGATAACTCACAACAAATATTATACTATTCTATTGAACTTTAACAAGCAGCCAAAAAGTCGAAAAGTTTGAAAACAGTGTGAAGATTTCCTGTTTCCTCTCACTTTGATTAACAGCTCCAACAACACACACACACACACACACACACACACACACACACACACACACACACACACACACACACACACACACACACACACACACACACACACACACCTAAACCGCCTGTCTATACCTGAACAAAGAACTAAACCCTCATAAACTTTGACCCCTTACCATCTGATGTTTTCAGTCCTGGCTGAAGTATTCTGGATTATCTGCAGTTTAATTCAGGTGATATGACATTTACCCTTTCGTTGAGAGTGTAAAGTATAGATGCCCTCTGCTCGGTTTTGTCACTCATTAACCCGCCCTGCCCCACCTGATCACTCATAGAGGATGGGAGTAAACTCTTTGCCAGAAAGCCGTCATTGGCTCCCCGTTCTCAAGGTACAGTAAAGTATAATTGATTTGTAATGATGCCTGCCATTATGAACAGTGTTCACTGTTACATGACTGCAGGGCAGCTGAACCTTCAACATTACAACATTGTAAACCTACATTTTTTTGCCCGGATGATTATGTGAGATTCTTCATTGGAATGCTGTAATTCTTTAATCTGATTATTTTGTGTTACACTCGCCGTATCGCACAGAGCTTTCTCCTGTCTCTCTCCTGCCCCAAAGCTTTCCTGACTCCCTTTTCTTTTCACAGGCCGGAGTGTAAGAAATCCTTGAAATGTCTCTGCTAAAATAAAACAGATACAAATGTTTCATTGATATATTTCAGGAAACAAAAAACAACAGGGTTTCCCCTTTAACCTAACTAAGCTGATTTCACTGCGGAGCAAACTGCTTGTCTTAAGTTGTTGCAAGTAACTGAGTGAATTTAGTTAGGTACAACTTTGAGGTACTTTTTGCCTAATTTACATGTTCTGCTATTTCATACTTCTACTTCTCAACATTTCAAAATGAAATAATATACCTTTTACTCCACTAAATCTATCTGATAGCTATAGTTACAATGCAGAGTCAGATTTGACATTAAACACATCCCTTATGATCTGATTACTCGCTTGACCATTGCACTAGATAAGACTAAATAACAGTAAATACACTATTTATTTTTTTAAGATTCTTTAAATAACTTTTTGTCCATTATACATCTGAGTATAATAATTGTAATTGTCTTTACAGTTGCTACTAAAGGAAAGTATCTTAATAGTTATCAGACCATTTCAAGTACTGATCAAAATAGTTTCTGCAAGAGGATAAACCACAAACTAACATAAAAAACGAAAGGTAAAAAAGTTAAAGCGACTAAATCATCAATGTATTGGTTTTAATGGTCTGTATGCTGAGTATTTACCACACACAAGGGTTTATTAACGTGGGTCTAGGTTAAACAAATCCCTATTCTTATCTCTACAAATTTGCGGAGAGCAACAACACAAGCACAAAAAAAGGGGGCAACCAAAGTTCAATATTTCCCCTAAATTGTTTGTCTAATAGAAACATTGGCGCTCGCTCACAGTAACACATCCGCACATATGTAAAGTTTGTATCTGTACTTCATGATCACAGGCAGTTTCTACACTTATACATCAAAACCATAGCACACATCAGTTTTACTTAAAGTATACTGAACTTTTCCTAACGTTACATTTACATGTACAACACGTTACTTACACGTTGATAAAGCAAAGAAACAATCGATTACTTACCTAAACATTTTGTTCTTTTAGTTGAATTCCTTTTTGGAGACAAAATACTTTCCTCTGCGCCACTAGGCGCGCGGAGACGGCACCGACATCTCCCAATATGGGGCGTGGACGCGCACGGCTGACTGATGATCAGACCAAACCTCCCAGCGCGCGCCTCTCCAGTCCATTATGCTGGAGCTGTGTGATTGAAGCACGCCTTCGCTGCTTTGTTTGTTAATGTTGCTAGTACATTACAGTGTTCCAAATAAAACACACAGGTGGATACAGTTAACGCTAGGTGGCGTACGCTAACCGCCATAATGCTTGGTTTTCATCATATGTGGGAGAAGGTAAAGCCATAATGTCAGTTCTTAATGTTTCAATGGTTTACTGAAGTTACATGTCGAGCAGGTGGCACATTTAAGCTAAAGTAGCAAACACATGCTAATGCTAAATGTGACATGTCTAAGTAAATGCGACTATCAATGGAGGGAGAAATTGTTATTCTCTTATACCTAATTAAAAGTAGCAATACTGCTCTGTAAAAATACTTTTGACAAGCATTTAAGAACTTGCTTAGGTAAAATAAAAAATAAGCATAAACGTCAAATAAATAAAGATGAATAGCCTACTTGTTGGGCAAATATATATAATTGTATTTATCTTACAATTAAAACATTACTACTGATGCTTTAAGACTCAAGCAACATTTTACTGACAGGTAAATGTGGAACACCTTTTTAACTAACTTTGAACACATTGAACTTTTTACATCTACAGTTCCATTTCAACAGGGTAGCCTACATCTGCCTGTGATAGTAGGATATAAACTCAAGAACAACTACTAGCCTATGTAAATGGACATTAAGTTAAGATGGTTCGGCCAACAATTTTCCTCTCAGTAACTAAAAAAAAAGAAGAAAAATAAATCACATTTGTGAATGTAATTAGTTTGACAAGCAAGTGTTTTACAATGTCCCGTTAGCCTGGTGTTAATGTGATATTCCTTCAATTTTGCAGAGCTTTGAGCGGGTCTACAGATGGATGAGGTGCTGCAGGAAATAGTCAGGAATACATCTTAAAGAGGTACAGTATGACCCTTGCATACACTGTGCCTTTTCTCATACTGTACACTAATGCCCTACATCCTGGTTTCCCTGCGTGTGCCGCTCTGCTGGGGCAGATCCACACCACCCGCAGAGATAATTATCCCCTCTTCAACTGAGCATAAAAGACGGGTACCTGAGCGCAGAGCCTGCAAAAGCTGCTTAATGTTTGAGCAGTCCTGCCAATCTCAGGGATGCATCATTAGGTGTGTCTGTGCAGTATTCTGGTGCAGGAGCCCGCTTTTGAAGTTCGACTTGGCACAAGAATGGATCCAAGAATAAAAAATATACATGTATTTTTAAACAACGCCTGCTTGGATTGAGAACAGAGGCCTAGATTCTCAAAGTTCCACTGAAACATTTTCATCTCAAAATCGTGATCGCCATTATGAATATTTCTACTTTTGCTGCTCACAGAACAATTCCCCCTTTCGTCAACCTTACATGAGGGTAGTGTGGTATCTTTCTCCATATATAAATGCAGTGCTCTAACATCTACATTATATTTTAGAGGGAACTTGACAGAGTCTCCTCAGTCCTCTACTAGTCTCTGCTCACCTTTGTCTCTCTTATTGTTAATCACAATAAGAGCTTTGCATTGCAACTAGGTAAGACAGGTGGGTGCTATCCAGTAGGAGTATTGAGCAGAGCAGGGCTATCAGCTGGTAATAGTCGATTCCTCCTGAGAGCGATCCTGTAATGCTGTAATTCAACTATTAGCTGTCCTTGATCCTACCGAGTTAGCCGTCAGGAGTCTAGGCTATGAAAAGGAATTTATTTATTTAGTACACTGAGTTCACAAAGAAACACTTTATTCATGGTAGAATGTTTTTTTTTCTTTGTAGAAATAGTGGCCTTAAACAGCAAACACACAGGTCTTTACAAGTCACCAAGGATGTTTTCATTGAGAAATACTGCAAGATAAAGGAATGATTGACACTTTTGGCAGCATCAATTGTTGGATCAGGAACTGTTTGAATTAGCTGATTGTTAATGAATAATAATGCTGGGAAATGCAGAGGAAACATAAAACAAGCACCAAATATATCGCCAAAACATAAAGTATGTACAAATGATATAAACAGCAGAGAAACAAAGTATTAATAATAATGCTTAGGGTTGTTGCATCTCCTCAGGATTTTTCTTATTGTTGTAAGAAACAAACAACATTAAACACCAAATGTAATGAATAATATAACAGATTTCTGCATATAGCTATAGCTGTGATGATTTGATACTGAACTGAAAATCCTTAATTGGGTGTTTCTCTGTTGGACTAAATAAGTTATTTAATTATGGCTGGCTCATTAAAATCTGTGATTTCTGATGTTTCACAATAAAAAGATTCCATATGAAATGATTTGGCAGATTGATAACATGCATGCGTGATATTATATTTATGTGATTTGTGAAGAAATCCCAATAGTCCCTCCAATCTGAGGCGCAGTGATATGTAAGTTACAGAGTTTGGGGAAACATTCATTATAAATAAGGAAGAAGCCACGTAACAGGTGGAATTTTCTTGTTGAATCTGATGTTTCCACACCAAGCAGACGCAGCTTAACAGGAGCAGCCTTTAGTATGTTGGCAGGTTTACCCACCAGGCATAATTGGAACCAATGGATTGTATAGTGACAGAAATGTCCACCTGTTGTCTCCTCCAGAACCTGTGAGAGACTAACTGGTGGGCCAGCTGCTGAGAGCTGCTGTCGACAGGATGCAGCAAATGATGCATGGTTTCCCTACAACTCTTTATTTCACTTCCCATTATCCCAGGCATGCTTCTCACAGCATGGGTGGATTCATGACAGGCTGAGTTAGTGCATGTCTGTGCAGCTTTGCTTTGCTCTTAATACGGATTGCTTGAGTAAAGATCACAGGTTGGGCCGTGTGCCTTTTGACTGATGGATGTGGAGGGAGGAAGCGGCCTGGTTTACCGTCCCTGTGGCCTTAATGACATCTGTGGCCCTGTGAAGCTCTGCAGGTGGCAGGGGAGTTTACACATCAAGTGTGTGAATGTGTGATGGGGTGTCTTTCTTTAACAGATGGCTGAGGATGGCCTTTGAGAAGCGGTGGATCTAGATCAGCACTCTGATGATTTATCTATTTCTTGCTTTCTCTTAATCAGAACCAGTGGCAAACATTCTTCTCTGTCAGTGCTTGACAACAGTCTTTGTGTTTCCTGTTGTTGACAGAGTGGCAGGCAGCACAAATGTATTTGTTCTCAGCCTGCCTGGCAGGTGTGGTCGTTTAAGCGGAAAATCAATCAACTTTAACAATTTCATGCAATCTTATTTCACATTATTTTGATGACTACGGTTCCTATTTAATTCAACGCCCAACGCTATATATTAAAGTGATGGTTCCAGCCTTCAGATGTTATCAAGTGTTTTCTATGTTCTTCATTCACCTTGCCTGAATTCACCCTCTCTCTCTTATTCTCTTGTATGGGTTTTATGCTTTACTTATTAAAACAGGAGACAGAAAAATTAGAATATGTTTGTTTGAAAATAAAAATGTAGGAATTGTTGTCATCTCTTCCAAACAATATATTGGAAAAATATTTATCGGCCAGTCTGCAGAGAGAATTGTTGTTCAAGCCCATATACTAGGTTAAAGGTAGAATAATAATGTATTGTCAAGTCTACACAACAAAATGCATCCTTAGCCTATTGCAATATAGCTACACACAAAGGCATGACAAAGTACCCTCTATTGTATTCTCTTTGCCCATCTTGTGTGTTTTGCGTGGGTGGCTTTGCTTCCCAAATTTGAAAAGAAAACGTTTTGTTGTATCTGTTTTATCAGCACTCACACTGAAGCTGGAGGCAAACCATGACAACACCATCTGTATCAGAAACTCAGGAGAAGCACAGAGACAACAGATGCGGTCCAAGGCAAAGGTAAGATAAAAGTACTAAAAACAGAAACGGGTAAAAAAAAATCAATTTCTTGTTTCTGAATTTGGTTTGGTTTAGACCAAAACTCTGACGCTAACATCCCCACATGGAGTGAATTCTCTGTGCCCTGTTACATGAAATTGATCTGGATGTTAGCACGAAACATCCCTTATTTGATTTGTATTTCACATGTACAGTTTTACACCTTTTGGTTTGTCGAACATCGATTTTCTGCAACATTAATCTCGAATGAGCACACATGGCTAGAAACAAACCTCAGCATGCCTGCCACATGGCCGCGCTATTATTCATATACTTCTCCATAATCCAATAAGAAATTATTCAAGTGTCGCGTAAATTGAGTGATGTGTGGAGGTCGGAGAGAGCGGAGAATGTGCCTGGGGAGATGGTATGTGACCTGTATCCAGATAATCAGAAATTGAAGAAGCGCACAATGCCTATCAGAAAAATGTAGTTCTTTACAAGAGGAATCATTATCCATGTAAAATACTCTGCTGACCCAAGCCTTTTTGGAAACTCAAACAATTGTAAGACAACCCAAATCTCTAAACTATGGTATAATGACTCTAAACTATAATGACTATAAATGTGTTTCATATAATATATTTGGTGAAGCACCCCTGATTTTCCTTTTGTTAAAGAGCTGGGTGACCCAACTCCCGGAATGTCCTCCCAGGATGGGCGTAGGAAGCATCCTCAATGTGGGTGTGACAATTTGACAGGGGGTGTGGGCAGGTGGTGGACCTCATCTCCTCTAGAGTGGTCCGGGGGCATGCTCCCCCGGGAAGATTTGTTTTTAAATTTTGAAGAAATGCATCAATCTGCCGTACTTTGAGAGCAAAATTAGGGACTAAATCTACAGATACATCAATAACACCCATGTGAAACAGAACTATAAACAGATTTACTTTTTCTTTATGCAAATTTTACAAATCACAAACACAATTATTTCATACCTGTTATTCTCTTATTTTTTACAACTATAATGATCATATAAAGGTGTGCCATGGAAATACTTGTTTACATAAATGATTACCAAACCGTTTGAGACCCACTACTTAAAGTGAACTATCTAAACCAGGGGTTTTCAAAGTGTGGGTAGGTGAGCCTCCCCTCAGAGAACATAAGAACAGCCGCGCCCCCCCTCCCAATTATTATTGCTGTTATTATTATTATTATTATTATTGTTGTTGTTGCTATAATGCAGGGGTATTCAATTGCATTTCAAAGAGGTCCAGTAAGAGAAAATGTAATTAAATGCTCTGTTTTCGCTGTCTACCTTCCGCCATTTGAAATTACTCCGACTGTTTCTCTCCTCTTGTCTCGTCTCTGTGTGTGTGTTTGAATCTATCGTGCTGACTGCACCGATTTGATTGGCTGTGTAGCGTCACCTCCTTAAAACATTAAACAATAACTTTTTTAAACCTTTTTATTTTTATGTTTTAAACATATTGTGTAAAAGTCCCCCACTACTTGGACTATTCCTTGCACCCCTCTAGAATAAGCCCGAATGGTCTCAACCATATTGCATCAGTAACGTGCACTTGTTATTATAACAAGATCGCAAGGACACTGGTAGCGATCGGAAAATTGAGTGTTGTTCAGTTTGTGTGTTGTGGAACATGCGTGTCCGTGCNGAACATAAACATAGAGAAATGATAATAAGAAAGATGTATATAAATAATGTGCATATTTATATTTTTTTAACAGGTTGAAAAATACAATAGCATTTTTTAGTATTGTATTTTTCAACCTGTTAAAAAAATATAAATATGCACATTATTTATATACATCTTTCTTATTATCATTTCTCTATGTTTATGTTCTAGAAGGGATAAATGAAGTATTTCTGAGCCTGATGACTAAACCAGGAGAACAGATACAGGCCCTTACTGTACAGTACCTGCATTAGCGGAGGCTTCCTCTCTCTTGCCCTT